TGCATATATTAAATTAGTCATATTTCTCCCCTATTGATGCTTATATTAAAAATATTCTTTTAATGAAGATAAGTGGCTTTTGCAAACACAAAATATTGAATGTTTAATGAAATTATAATGAGAAATTAACGAGCTTTCTGATAAATATCGATACTAAAAATATTTTTAACTTTCTATTTTAGTTTGATTTATCATCAAAAATGAAAGGAAAATATACATACATTATTTTTTACTTGAAATTTTCATTTTTCTCCTCTTATTTAGTTTAATTGCCGGAGGAAATTGGAAGAAAATCATTCTTTAAAATAGATAAGCTTCATCTTTAATTTATTTCTTAGTAATTAAAGAAAGTGTTATCGAATCTTATTGTAATGAACTGAAAAATTATAATATAGTACTTTACTTATAAAAATGATTAATAAGTTTCTTAACGTAACTAAAGTTTAAAAATACAATTTATATTAAAAAAATTCATGAAATTTTCAAAACTTCATTGAATTAAATTGTAATTTAAATATTAAACTTCATATTTTAATAATTATATTAATGTAATTTTAATTAGTTTTAACTGCTTAAAATACTTATTTTATTAAAATTTATGGTGTAAAGTTTAATTTAAACAACATTAAAGCAATCTTTTCAAAGTTAAATGTGCTTAAATAGTCAATTAAAATTTTATAAGATAAATTTTTATAAGAAAAAAAATTTATAGACTTATAAAACTTAAATGTGCTGCTTTAAAAGGGAAGAAAAATGATTCCTTTCTGATAGAAAGTCTCTTTGAAAATATGACGATCTTTTAAAATGATAGCAAAGTAGAATCTTCAAGCATAAACTTTTGTAACATTTTCAAGACCCAATTCTTTAAATTTCTTTTTTATTTTTAATTTTTTAAATGTAATATTACAGTATTATATTACAATAGTTACTTTTAAAAGATGCTTTTAAACATCATTTTTATAAGATAAATATTTTTCAACAATTTCCCATTTTGAAACTTTTATTTCGAAATAAAATTATTAATTACGGCGTAAAAGGAACATCAAAATTTTCTTTTATAATACATACGGCTCAAAAGTCAGTTAAACACTATAAAAACAACGAGAGATACAATAAGAAAAAATTTCTCAGTCTTTCGCTATAAAAAAACCAGTCAAAACTTTAATAATCAATAATAATTTCGCTAAAATTTTATTAAAATATTAATTAATTTTACGTAATTTACATAAACACTGCCTTATTTTGTACCGAAATTTGTAGAATTGTATCATTTTTTTTTTTTTTTTTTTGTTAAACGTAATGTTCTGTGGTGTGTTCTATGTCACCTTTTTGGGGTCCCAGCGGTTGTAGCTAGAGATTGGCTAAGAAGAGTATCACATGATTGGACAAGTTCCTGGATGGCACCAGTTATAAAAGGTGCATGTCTCATATGGTTAAGCCCCTTTTTCTTTGGATTCTTCAGATTGGAATGGACTCTCGAGCACCCATCTGAACTAAAGGTGAGATAAGGTCATAGTGATGATACAACAGAAGTGATAGGATATTGGACTGATATGTGCAAAGGACAATCCAAACCCATTGAGTGAAATTTTATTCCTATTGCCGAATACTTCATGTAAGAACGCACCTAGGAATCAGTTTTACTCAGCGAGATGTTCATTTCGTTGCTTTTGTGTTTATTTTTTTGTTCCAAGTGATGACCACATGTTGGATAACAAAGAGCATCAAACTCTGTTAAGAAATTGTACTAAAGAGAATGCTTAACTAGCCTGATATACCAACTTGTAAATATTTGTTTATATTAGAAATAATCGCGTAACAGTGGTATTAGCGTCTGACTTAGAATTACCTATGTAAGTAGAGGATAATATCGAGACAACTATGTAACTGATAAGAACTTAGTTGTGATTTTATTGAACCAAATTGTTACTTTTTTGTTTCTTCTTTCATTAATATAAAATATTTGTTCCATCAATATGTCTTTTAATTGTGAAGTCCTCAATTTGTCACCCCACAAAAAGACTATATATATTTTGATATATCTTAGTCACTACACAATTTTAACTTTTTGAATAAACAAATGAATTTTTCAATGATCTTTATTAATTGAAGTTGTAGTAGACTTACAAGAATTACTGTTATTAAAATTCTGATTTAACAATTGCAATTATAAAAAAAAAGTAAGTATTTAAATAGACTTAATGGTATATGAATTATTTTTTTGTGTTAATAAAATTGAGAGATCTTATAATCTTATAATCTTACATTTTCTTTAATCAGGATAAATAAAAACTATTAATATTTTACTTTTCAAAGTAAATAAATGAATCTGAGCAAGGTTTAGATCTAGAAAAAATAAAATTATGTAATATAAAAAATCTCCAAAATTTATTTTTACTGTACTTTGTTAATTTGAATATTTCAGTTCTATTTTCAAAACCTAGGAGTTGGAATATATTGATATTAATAAAAAATATTAACTCATTAAAGATTGATTTTTACAGTATATTATTTTAAGTATGTTTTCTAATTATAAATACTAATTATATGAGTATAAGTATTACAGTTAAGCTGGAAAGAAATTTGAAATATTTTTCAAATAAACATAAACTTCTGTAAATGCAAGTTTTTTTGTATTAATGCAGAATATCAGATAGAAATTTATGATTTTATTAGTGGGCTCGACGTATTGGTGAATCTTGTCATCCACAAGTCAAAATTCCTTTGTATCCCTGTGAACATCATTTTCTGCATACTTTACCAGTTAAGAATTTGGATCCGATGATGCCAGGTATTTGATAAAATTTTCTTCAATTTAGTTTAAAATCTTTAGTATTTATAAAAAATAAACTGTTAAAATAGTAAATTTTTTATGTTTTCAAATTTTAGTTATAAGAGATTATGATGGTTATTTTTACATTCGAGAAAATAATGGAAGATTTCTTGCCGGTGGATTTGAACCAGTTTCAAAACCTTTAGACCCGAATGACATAGTCGATCCTTCAAAACCATTGCCAGAAGATTGGGATCAATTTTGTAAATACATTTAAAATATTTTAAATTAGTTTTAAAACATTTAAAGTTTGTAATGCGATGGAGTTCTGATTATCTGAGATAATGTGATACTTGAGGGTATATTGGCTAATCAAAAACTTGGATAACATAGATTGTTTGGTATACAAAATGTTTAATAAAATACAAAAATATTGTTATAAAATCAAAGTTTCTAATTTTATAAGAAATTTTGGATCTTGATATTTGATTCAATACTATCATTTTTGAGATGTTAAGTGTTTTTAATAGTTATAGATTTATGTTGGAAGTGATATTATTTATGAAATAGCTAATTTTTTGTTAATTAATGCAGTAGAATCTGCTTATTGTAATTATTAATATAGGATGACCAAATGACTGAATTGCTAAGATAACAGTCTCTCACTCTGGAGACTTGGGACCAAATTCTAATGAGCAGTTCTCAGAAATTTTTCATGGACTGTCTGTCCAGATATGTTGGGCTTTTCTCTCACTACCCGACTGCCGTCATGTAGGCCTAGTTGAACTCACAATAGGTATGATTAAAAAGTCCTTACTGTTCACAGATTGGAAAAAGACAAAAAAAACATTCACTGATATTATAATCAGTTGCTTAATGTTAAGAGAATTAGCATGTCCTACAGTTTATAAGTTAAAACATACTTCACTTATTGTATTCAACATTCAGTTATAGTTACTATGTTTAAGTAAATAGGAATTTTTTAAGTTGTATTTTTGCAGTACCTCAAGATGTTGCTGATAACACAATCATCATCAGTTATCATTATTAGTCTCAGAGGTGGAAAAACTTTACTTTGAGCTATGGTTCAAAATTTAATAAGACCCTCTCTTCCCGATCCCACTCCCACTACAAAGAACAGAACTTGCATCTCCAAAAAAATGCTTTTAGCCCTTGACTGAAAATATGAATTGCTCAACCAATCTGAATTGAGGTCTGAATATGTCAAGCAAAAGCCTATATCTGTGATAAAAAAAAAAACTGTTTGATCACAGGTGTAGGCTTTTGCTTGATATGTTTGGGCCTTGGTTCCTTCAGTTGTTTGAAATCTTTTTATTATTAATCAATAAAACAACTGCTTTGATTATAGTATAGGCTTTTGCTTGAAACATTCAGGGCCCATTTCAGCCAGGGTCTGGAACTTAAAATGTTCAATCAGTGCTTTGAACATTATTTGGTAATCTGCATGCTCTTTCCTGTGCTAGTGCGATCTACTTCCTCTTCAGCATGTCTACAGAAGTTTGTGTCTATCGTGTCACATATCACTGGATGGTACTCACATCGTGCCCAACATGCTTGGCAACTGTGCACATTGATAAACCAAGGTTGTGTAAGCTCAAGGATATGGTCTTGTTTCACAGTTGTTAACTGGTGGAATTCAGCTTGCTGTCATCTCTGAGGCATTTTCTACACTTCTTCAAAAGTTTGGCTGCTATAAATCATTGCTGATAGCATTTATGCCCAAGCCAGCTGCTGGTCTTTATAGCCTGAAACTTACCACACGACCTAATGCTTATGCAAATTTACTCATTTGCATATCTTTGTCACCTCTCCCGGTCCTGCAAATTGCATGTTGCTAAACGCATTCCTTTATGGTGTTGCAATTTAATTTTTGAGGAGTGAATATTTGTATATATTTTGTATAACTCCAGTTAATTTGTATCCTTTCAATGTTCACAAGTTATATATGTATGCACAATGTAATCACTTTTATTTCTTTGAAATATTTGTCAAATAAATGTTATATATTATTTTATTGTCATGATTTTGAGTTGTACTCTTCAAATGTAACTTTGAATTTATTTAACCTCTGTGGTGCACTGTAATGCAGGGATGATTTTGTAAATAAAATTATATTAAGTCAGTAAAGTTGAAACATTAGATAAATTTAATAAGAATAAAAACATTTGAAAATTCAGTTACAAAATAAAGTAATTAAAAATTACATTTAATAACAACTTCTTATTTTTTTCCTATTGCAATTTATTTGGATTTTTATGACTCAATATTAAATTAGTTTTAGTTATTTTTTAGGAAAAACATTCCTTTACAAACAAAATGGTATTTTTTTCTAATATTAAATATAGTATTACCTGACTATATCTCCATTTTCTCTACACCCAATGCAATCGTTGGAGAATGGAGATATATGAGAGTAAAGTAAATAACAATTGCTTAAATGCCAAGAATGCTAATGTTCTTCCAACGGCCTGGAAATATGTGATAGAAAAGGAAATGGGAATTAAAAATCCTTTAAACTTGTGGTGGTTGTATTTTAACGGGTTTAATGTATACTTTCGTTATATTAGTTTATTTTTATATTCTGTTTAATTATATAATATGTTAGTATTTTGTTAACTATTTAATATTTACAGTTTAATGTAAAGATTTTTAAAATATTTTAGAAATTTTAAATTTAATTAAAGAATGTTTGAAAAGTTTTGTGTTCGATTGTAGAACAGTAATTTCCTGAGGATGGCCTATTAAAGTAGTCTGAAAGCATTTGAATATTAAATTAATAGTAAGCTCAGCAAGTGTTTGGTGTTTGATTATATTTGTTAAGCAAAACAATTGAATTGGAAGAAGAAGATATTGCCTAGTTTATTAAAAAATATGAATTAGAAGATGACATATTAATTGTTTTGTAAATGTTACATTTTTTAAAAATTAACTCACTCTAAGATGAGAGAGAGTCAGATTTTAACCCAGTTATCAAAGAATACTTTGAGATATTTATCTTGAAGTATTCTTTGATTAAAATATATTTGATAGCTATTACAATTGTAGTAAATTGATCCATTTGTTACAGAAGTGTGTTCTTTCTGTCATTCATTTATCAGTTGTGAAATTAGAATTATTAAATGCGAGTTCTTACAAAATAGAGTATGAATATTGACATTAGATAGGTGGGATACTTTTTTCTATCTTTGGAAGTTAGCAAAACAAAAATCTCTACTGTCAGTTCTCTATTTCTTAAACCAAGTTGATCTCTACAAAAAACTTTTAAAATAATTACATTACCTTACTTAATTTAATTAGAATATTACTTTATTGAAAAGACTAATTCAATGCGTTTTAAGTTAATTTTGCATATTCATATTGTAATGAAGAATGCAATTGGGAAATTGTATTTATTAGTTTCAATATTTGAAAATTTTCTAATCCTTCAAAGACAACTTATATTTGATGTAAGCATTTATCCATTCAGATGATGGGGAAAGAGGCAGCACTCTCTATAAAAATATATTTAACTAAAGAATGATTAAATTCTGCTACTTTTGATTATTGATATTATTTCCTGGTTCAGCAGTTGTTATAAACTTGAAAGTTTGCATATTTATGCAAGCTTTATTAATGCAGTCATTGGCGCACTCAAGATTTAATCTTGGGGGAGCCAAGTTGAATGGATAAAAAAATTTTTAATTGAAATTCAATAAAATTCCACCTTATGTGACCACCAATTCATAAGTAATATAGAAATAGAACACATAACATAATATAAATAAAAAAATGAATTTTAATTAGAAGAATATTTTTAGAAAATTTACTAGTGTTTCTTTTACTTTGGGGTGCCAGGACCCCTTGGCCCTGGCACTCCCAAAGTAATTACTGCACTCAGTGGCACATCCAGGTGTGCCACTGAGTTCAGTAATTAATGAGAATAAATTCACACTTTTATATATAAGAATTTAAAACTGTTTTTTGAAAATTTATATACCTGCCATTTTAACATTTAAATAAATATCTTGATTCTCATGATATTCTAAAGTAAAGACAAGGTTGTTGGATGTAAAATTTTTTATTATTTGTATGTATTATTCTGTTTGGTTATTTTTGATATATTTTAATGTAAATTGTTGTTATATTATATTAAAACTATTTAGACCAACAGATTAAAATGCTTCAAAAATATTTTTAAAAATCAAAATTTTCTTGCTGTAAAATAATTGAAAATTTTTTGTTTACTTCCGAAACGACCTCAATATTTTTAAAACTAATATTTGAAGACACATAGATGAGTGTATATTTTATTTTCCATAATTATAAAAATTGAATTTTACATATGTAATATGTTAATTTACTAATTTCAGATGTATTATTGCAAGAAATGTTGTTTCGCATCCCATCTTTAGGCGATGTGGAAATTGATAGATTATGTAATGGAGCCGAGAGCTTTACACCCGACTGCAAGTGGATTCTTGGTGAAGCACCCGAGGTAGTATTTGAATTAATTTTTTTTATAAAGTTTTAATATAAAAGGTTTTATTAATTTAGTTTTCTATTTTATTTAATCTTGAATAAATAATGTTAGTCTATAATGATGTTGTCACTTGGTAATCCAAAGGACAAATTTACAATTTATGGCTGACATTATAATGTATAAATATAATTTATAATGATAAATTTAATTTTATATATAAACATAAATGAACAAAAAAGTCTTTATATGTTTCATTTTAAATATATACTCTTAATAACTAAATTATCATCATTAAAATACAAATTTATAAAATGTGGTCTTCAATTCAAGATAAATTTGACAGCATTTTCAGATTATTTTCACAAAATAAAATATCCCGTAAGAACTACTGTTGATTATGTTAATTACAATAAATATGAACTAAAACACTATTCTGCTCTTATTGTACATAAACATAAACAAACATATTTGCAAATCTAATACATAATTGAGGGTCTTGGACATCAACTCTGCTGTCTATAAAGTTCTCAATTTTAGTATTCATTATTAGTGTTTAACTTTTCAGAAACCAAACACTACCATTATTCTATTTAATATCACAAAATGAAATCTGCCATTTTAAGTGTAACTGGAAATATGCAAATAATATTTATAACATCAATTTTTTTATTTTTTATTTTATGGAGTTGATCAGTTTGGTTTTTGAGATGCTTATTTATAAATTGTATTTCTATATAGCTCTGTAAAATAGTTGTCACAATTGACATAAATTATCTCTCATTTTCATGAAAACCAGTGGAATAAAATGGTTTCTGTCAGTTACAAACAATCTAATCAGTGTGGAAAAAGTATAAAATTGTCAATAAGTCAGTTTATTTATGCTAAAGTTAAGCAAGAATATAACAAACAGTATTTTTGTCATTACATTGAAAGTAGAATGTCAATTTTGTCCACAGATCACTCCAGCCAGGTCACAATAAATCAGCTTTATGAACAAATTTATATTGAATTTCAGAAATGTCTGGTTTAATTTTTAAACTCTGTTTTGTACAGTAAAAGTTAAAAATCAATTTGATTTAAATTAATTAAATAGTGAATTAAGCATTTGGTGAATATTTTGACTAGATAATGTAGTTGACTGAATTATGAGTAATATGAAAAACTGATTCACATCCAATAAATAAATTTTAGTTTAAGACTTTTAAACCAACATTCTGCTTTTTTTTTTTTTAAGTTTTATTGAAGTTAATTTTTTTCTTCTTCTTGTCTTCTTTCTTTAGGAAATCTACCTGTACCATTCATAAAAATCATATTTCCATAGTTTCCTGGGTCTATCTGTGGGTCTTGTTCAAGCATATATAATAAGACAACTTCAAGCCATTTATCTCTGTCCTGTCTCTTCACATATTCCTTCCATTTCATTCTGTAATTGTAAATATCACCAACTATTCCTGTTATTTTTAATTTTTGGCATTATGTTTTGGCATACTTCTAAGTTTTCAAATTTATTCACTATTAATTTAAGGTAATTTTGAATTTCATGTATTATTCAATTTTGCACAGAAAGTCAATTTCAGATTTCGTCTAATTTGGTATACGTTCTTTTGTTAATTCACACTTCACTTATTCCACGCTTCATTCTTTAGAAATGTTAAAGGAATGGATGATCTATTAGTGCATTTATTGTTCAACAGACTTATAGGTGTATTTAAAAATTTTTTATTCACATCCGTTTCATTCCAATGCAGATATTTCAACGACTGTAGTTGACTATTTTATAATATATTCGTATTTCTTCCCGCTTAGTATCCAGCACATTTTCAGTTATCTCTGTTTTCTTAAATTTTGAAAAATTCAATCGCACTATTCGTGCATAATCAAAACGAAAATTCTTCTACACAAAATATAACTCAATCGTTCATTCTGTTCAATTTTTAAATAGCCCAATCAACAAACATCTCTGTCTCCTTGCACTGAAACATTTTATTTATTATTTCAGGTAAAAAATTATTTCATTGCCAGCGGAATGAAGTCGATCGGCATTGAAGCCGCAGGCGGTGTAGGTAAAGTGACGGCCGAATGGATGCATCACGGAGAACCAACGATCGACGTGTGGGACTTGGACATACGAAGATTCTTGGGATTACATAATAATCCATTATTTCTGAGAGACAGAATGAGAGAAGTTCCAAGTAGGCTTTACACAAACTCAATATTTACTGAAATGGAAATTTTTCTCTATATGTTAAAAAAAAAAAGATTACAAAAGTTTGAATATATTAAGATTTTATTTGAACTTACGTAGGTCTTCATTATTCTCTTCATTATCCTTTCGCCGAATTCAACACTGGTCGTTGTCTCAGAATGTCTCCCATTTATCCCAGATTGAAAGCTGCCGGTGCTGTTTTTAACCAAACGATGGCGTACGAACGACCTTCTTACTTCGATCCAAATTTAAAAGGTCAGTCCAGTTTTATTTATTAAAAATTCAATTTGTTTACTTTTCTGCCCTGTGGGCACTGAAAGAGTTTTTATTTCTACCTATCACTGCTTTGATAATCCTATACAGTCGACCACCCTATAACACGAATTCCTATAGTTCGGATTCCTATATCATGGCGAAAAAATTGCGACAGTATTCGTACAAACATGCTAAAAAAAACTCCTATAATTCGATAAAACGTCATTGCCAACTCGTGTCGCGACAGGATTGCACAAATCGTTGA